TCTGTCCATCATCGTATAAAGCCCGCCCTGACAATTTGATTGGCCCGTCAGATATTGTGCTAGCATACTCGCGCTACTGTTGAGCAATGCCAGACCGAACTTCCCGACCTCAAACGTTGTGGGCGGGACTAAGTTCGGAATGGCACCCAGGCTAGTGAAATGCAGCTCTAGACGAGCTGAGCCTGTGGCGACGTCACAAGTACGCTTCTGTTCCAATTAGATTTAGACTTCCTTTATTGTCATTGCACACAAAAAAAGGTGAATCTTGACAACGAAATGTCGATTAGGCCTACTTGGCTACCAGTGTAACAGAGCCAAGACCTTATTCCTGCACAAAAAATACGTTTTCTATGAGTAAGAGCTAGCTATATACAGGGTAAAAGTATATATATATATATACATATATATTGCACTGCACATATATATTGAGTTATTGAAGAAGTAACAATGACCCATATTAATGCTGCATGCTCGTGTTCTCGCCAAGTCCAGGCTTTCCTGTGTTCTTGCTAAGACCGCGTTCTCGTCCAAGTTTCTCCGCCCAAGTTTCGAAGTATAAATCAGCCTTGGCTATGGCCACCCCTGGCCCCCCATCTAGCTCCGCCCCTGGGTCTGTCCGTCTCTGTCTTAACCTCTCTGACAAGGAGACAGGGAGGAGGAGGGAGAAACAGGGAGAGAGCAAGAGAGGGGAGGGTTTACTGCGATGTGAATGGAAGAGATTCATGGGGGGAGTAGAGACGGAGGGAGGGAGGGAGGCACAAATCAACCTGCCTCTTCTTGACTTCAGCAAACAGCACCGGGGAGTTCGCCTATAGGCGCAGAGACTGAGCTTCATATCGTGTTTTTTCTTCTCTGTTTCTCTTTTCGGTTAAGAGGAAGAGAACAGAGCCAGGGGGAAGGAAGCAGCGTCGGCAGGACAGACTCTCTCTCACCGTGGAGACAGATAGCAGAAAAATGCTGTCATGGGGAGAGAAGCGGAGGGAGCCGACAGAGAGGAACAGGATGAAAGCAGGCAGGGTCGAGCTGGACTGAAACGTGGAGGTAAGCTCTGTGTTTCTGTGTCCGATGATTGCTCTGTGCACCACGGTTCCTCTGTATCGGCACGCATGTGATCTTACAGGCTCCTCATCCATCCAGAGACAATGTAGGGCATATGCCCCCACCCAACCCCCTCTGCCTCATGTCCTTTGTGTTTCTGCCATCACCTTTAAAAAACATGTTTTAATAAATTACAGACAAATCAGACCCAAAATTCACAATCGGGCATTTTAAAGCAGCTCACAACCTTTGTCGCATTTCATCCCAGGCCTGCCCTCCTCTCCTCTTCTTCTCCCCCCCTGCACCTCCTCCTTCATCATCTCCCCCTGCAGACACACACACACACTGTCATCCATCCTGTCTCCCTCCATTGTGCGCCCTCCAAGCCGATTGTCTTAAAAACTGTGTTATGACATCCCTAAGAAGGGCTGCAGGACTGAAGAGATGAGGGACAAGGTGGAGGGTGGAGGGGATGTGGGGGGTAGAGAATGAAAGAGGCAGAAATAACAAAGAAAGAGCATATGAATCATATTCTCACATCATCAGACCTCAGCATGCTAAACCGGATGATCAGCCACTGACAAAGATGGGAAAGAGATGCTAAAAACTGGACCAGTGTGTTTTTCAAGGTGGCATAGAAAATGAGGGATGCAGGAGCCAGGATCTTCATCCTTCACTGATTTAAACATGGGTCCTCACAGAGGCTGGGAGAAGAGAAGAAAGAGGAGCAGCAGCCGCTTATGTAAGCCTGTGCACTCAAAGGACGGGCCATTTAATTTACATCGAGCATCATGACTCCTGGTCCAGCCTGGTATTGGCTGTGGTATTGGCTGTGGTTGGTGTCAACACACTGAGGGATTAAATGCAGATGGAACTGGACCGCATTGTAAGAAATGCTCTAAAAATAAGTACAAATTTCTTAAAATGAGTGTATTAGCCTTTAATTTGAGCTGAAAGGAAAGATTTGCCAAAGGTATTAGTATTTTTGAGCCTGGAGTAAGATAATCAGATATTATGCATCCATCCATCCATATTCGGACACGCTTAATCCCTGCTGGGGTAGCAAGGGGTGCTGGTGCCTATCTCCAGTCTATGGGCAAGCTGGACACCCTGGACAGGTCGCCAGTCCATCTCAGGGCAACACAGAGACAAACAACTATTCACGCACACACTCACACCTAAGGATAATTTAGAGAAGCCAATTAACCTAACAGTCATGTTTTTGGACTAAGGGAGGAAGCCAGAGTACCCAGAGAAAACCCACAGATGCTCAGGGAGAACATGCAACCTCCATGCAGAATTGAACCGGCTACCCACTGCCCCACTGAGCAGCCTGTTATGATGCATTTGAAATAAAATATTTTTTCTTATCCTATTTTGTTGGCAAGTCATCTTAACTACCTGCTTAAATACACCTATGTCAAGAAAAATCCACTTACTTAGATTTCAGTTGTTTCAGTACAGATAGCAGGATGTTTTTACTGGTGTTAATTTTAACTGCCGCGTTCATCAGGGTGAAATAAGCGTTTCAGCTCGATGGTGCTCACAGAACAAAGCCTGACCTTTAAATTTGCTGCTGACGTTTTTATTACTGCCTTCCACTTAGCATCAAATTTAGAAATGGTGAAACCAGACTTCCTTCCAAATATGTTCTTACCCCTGAATTTCATTCCACTATAACCACAAACCTCAGTGTTTTGTTGTCTTTTTTACTGGGAATTTATGTGACAGACAAGGTTTTGGACCCGCGCTGACTCTGGAGGAGCTGCAGGGGTCTCCAGCTTATGTTGAAAAATTGGTTAACAGACATTCCCCTATTAAAGAGTTAAAATTAGAAAGCCAAGTTTGGGGTTTCCTACCAGCCTGGAAGACATTGTAAACATCTGGAAGATGTTTTAACTGCAGGGTCAAGGTGCCTCTACTTGTACCCTAAGGTGAATCAGCTTGCATAATACATAAAGAGTATTTACCAAAACAGATAGTAAAGAATAATAATAAAATTATAAACTATGACATCAGAGTCCTACCAAAGGTGCTCCATTAATAAATACTCATACAAGCAATTTTATTTGAAACACACACAGATAAACTAGGCCTACTGTTCAAGCGTACTTTGAACATTTTGTACGTTCATATTTACCACCATGAAGCCAAAATACATCAAGCACAAGTTCATGCTTGTGATGTATTAGCTTGTTTTTTATCCACCTGTAGATTCCCTCCTAGTCGTATGTGGACTTTTTTCTGTGCGCCCGTGTTAACTTGTTTCGGTACATTATTGTTTCCTTTCTGGTTTTGGCTAGTTACATCAGCAAAGCATCTTCAGGCTAATCACTGTTCTCTTTAAAATTTAATTCTGACTTCATATCCAATATCTATCTTTGTACCTAAATGATAACTTTATACACACAATTACAGTTTCAAATTAATTGTAGGCTTAATGTAAATGTCTGTATTGAGCTAGCTAACATTAGCTTAGCTTACACGAAGTTCTAACTTTAACAATAATTTCAGAGCATATGGCTACTGCTGTCAGAACACATTCATGGATGACAAACTAAGTCATTCAATGATGATTTCATTTAACAAATTTTTAACTCCAAGAGAACTGCAATTATCCTGCAATTATCCTGAACATGCTTTGCTAACGCTACTGTCGCTACCCAATCCGTACCGAAAGCACGGTCCGTACCATATGAGCAAGCAGATATTCATCCAGGTTGCCATAAATAATGTAGTTATGGTACTAAAAGTATTTATTTCTATCCTTAAATCACTAAGCAATGCTAATACAAATCTTTAAAACATTTATTATGACTTTTCTGAGACAATTTGATGCTTTTTTAACACTTGTCTGACAACATATTCGGACATGCTCAGAGAAGTTCGGCAAAAATTTTTTTTTTGCTATTTCTTTCTTTATATTACGCACTATATACCATAAGGTTAGCATGAAAGCAAAGATAAAATTCAAAACACCGTATGTTTAAATCGAAAGCCGAAAATTCCAGACTATTCCCGGGAGCTAACTTTTCTGTAGAATTTAGTAGGATCCTAAGTGATAATAAAGAATTTTAAAGCATTTATTTTCTCAGGAAATACATTAACCTTTAACACATTACAGTTTAGTATTCTTACTATTTTCAAGGAGGGAAAAAATGTAATTAAGGTCTTTTTTACTAATTAAAATAAAGGGCGACCTGGATATATATCTTGTTGCTCATGCGAAAATGAGCTGATGGTGAGGATTGTGCTTCCAGTACGGATTGGGTAGTGACAGTTGATAGCGCAATACAAGAAGAAAAATTTACTGCCTCAAGAAATGGGATTTCCTGAACAGTAGCAAATCAGAGCCAGTTTACTTTCTTTGGTTGGTTACACCCTCAAAGTGACGAAAATTTGCACTGTCTCCACCCGATCCGTCCCCGAAGCACGATCCGTCCTGCGCATGCACCGTCAGCTCATTTGCTTATGCACATCCAGATATACATCCGGGTCGCCCTCGATTTAATTTTGTTAACAAGACCTCCCCAAAAATAGTAAGCGTATTAAATTATAATGTGTTAAAGGATAAAAATGTGTTTCCTGAGAAAATAAATGCCTTAAAATCCTTTCTGTTTTATCAGTCGTCTCTACCTGATCTGCACAAAGAAACAACTAAAATGCAGATAAACATGGTTTAATCATATTTTGCTGCTCAGAGCATTTTGGATGATGATGTCAGAAAAGCAGTTTTTTAGTGAGTTAAGGATAGAAATAAGTAATTTTGGTACCATAATAACGTTATTATCGGACCCCCGGATGTATATCTGTTCGTGCATGCGCAGGACAGATGTTGCTTCCAGGACGGTTCAGTTAGTGACAGGCACAAGCTCCAAGAAACAGGTCTGCATGAGAGTAGGAGAGAGGCTATATGTGTATAGGAAAAAAGCCACCAGCGCAGAAAGGTTGAATGCTGTCATGCCTGTGATATATTAAGGGCCTCATTGTATTGAATCTGTTCAAAATGTGCATTGAGAGGTAGTTTTTGTCCATTTTAAATAAAACTGTTCCTATAGTATGAGTATTTATTACACGTGTGACCTGTATGCAAAATTCTGACTTAAATTCTGGCATAAAAAATTAAAACATCCCCTGGTGGCGGTGAGAATATCACAATTGTTGTGGGGATAAAACTAATTCTTTGTCCCTTGGGTCCTGCATGATGCTTGAGCTCAGTCTCTGTAACTGATTGGTGTAGATTGAGGCCATATATTTATTTTTTGCAGAAGCGTTTCCAAGCCAAGACAATAGACAGAAAGATGGAAAGACAAATTGGAATTAATAAAACAGTAATAAAAGAATGTTAGCAGCAGTTTTTCCTAAAATCGATTAACAAGTCTTTGGTTTTCTTTATATTCATCAGAGAAAGATAACTCTATAAAGTAGAGGCTTATGCAGGGCACACCTTTCAGTTTAATTTTTTTTCCGCTGTAAATTTTCTGAAAAATGTGATTTTTTTAAATAATTTTTCCTTCTACGTTTATGTTCCTCTATTACATTAATTCCTCAACACTATAAATAATGTTGGTTTGTAACCAATTTAAAAAGTTTATTTGGATAAATACTTTTGCCAGGCACTCTGTTACCGCCACCCACTGATCTCTATTTATTCACTGGATTGCTGATAGCCCGAAAAAGTGAAGCCACCGTCCACCATGCTGGATAGTACTGTATGTGGCGTAAAATTAATCTGGCTACCTCGCACTGACTCGAAGATATTGCCTATCGTTAGAATATAGAAAGAAATATAAGGTAATTCACTGTGTAATATAGATATAATAATTCTTAAGTGGACGACGCTGCTGTATATATATATATGTATATATATATATATATATATATATATATATATATATATATATGTATATATATATATATATATAAATACTACAGCATTAACAGACATGTGCTTGTAATTTTATTGTGATGGATTTGAATAATATGTTATATTACATCATTTA